ATATATATATATATATATATATATATATATATAAAAGTTACACTTAGGAGATTATGAAATTGTCATAAACTATAAATATTATAAGTAGTAAGATGATTCTTAAATCTCTTTAAAGTTTTTTAATCTATGCAATTGAAGGGGTTGTGAACACTTGAACCATGTGTTGGTAACATGCTTGTGTGCCTTTGGTGGTTATTTATTGATTTGTGATAGACTTTTGTATGTATTTAGGGTTATTATGTGATTAAATTAGGGGATTTTGTATAGTTGTCATTATTGATCAAGTTCAAGATAAATATATGATATTAGTTAGTTTTGATGATTACAAATAAGCCTCTTGAAAAAATAAGAATGTAACTTATAGTTTTTTATTTTGTGTCTCTTAAAAGAAAAAATGCAAATTGTATATTATTTGTGTGTTTAAAGTTTTAGTACTTGTGTGCTTTATAAATTGTAATTGATAAGTAACTTAACCTTAAATCTCTATCTAGATGATGATCTATGATGAAAATAACTTTTAAAATTGATTTATAAAGAAAAATTATATGAAAAATCAATATGTTAAGTTTTCACTTAAAATATTTGATTATCTTAAGTAAATAATTGATTATTTGTCCTATTTTTTTAGTAATTCGAGAAGTAATTGATGTAATAATTTATTATTTGACAAAATAATTGATTATTTCAAAAAGTTGGTGTATGGTAAGATCGATTATTATTAAAAATAATCGATTCAATTATTTTTTGTTGATTTTTATAATTTCTAAAAATAAAAAAATTGATTATTTATGTCAACAAATAAATAAATATATATATATATATATATCACTTTTTACACTTAAAACATATAGACTTAAATCTCTTTAATATCTTTTTCAATAACATTTTATGAGCAACATTTTTCTTTGCAAAAAGAGGTTCAATTATATTTGTGGTAACCTTAAGAAAGATTTAAAGAATTGAATTGATTATCATATTCATTAAGTGAAAACATAAGCTACTTGATTGATTCACCTACTCTTATTTGTTTTGTACACCTAGTGAATTTGTTCCTTGATTTATGTATTGTGTTTTTCTTAAATAGGGTTCTTAAGAAAGGAAAGTTTTGTAGTGAGGTATTGTAAGTGAATGCTTTTTGGGGTACAAAAAGTGATTTCTTTATTAGTGTATAAGTGCATTGCATGTGATATTATGATTGTAAAACTTCTGACATTAAAGATTAGTAAAAAATCTCAATCAGATTAATTAGGGTCTGGATGAAAGTCACAGGTAAATGTAACTGAACCAACATAAATTGATTGTGCATTTTTTCTCTCTCTCTACACTTTACATTTTTATAATTTTGATTTGTGCTTAATGTTATGTGATACGAAGCACAGACGTTGCATATAGAATTAAGTGAACTAAACTTGTGTTGAAATTGAACTTAAAATCTTATATACAACTATAAATCAATATACCTATTTAGAAAGTTTTTCAAAATCCAAAAAAGGCTACACACAAAAAAAATAGGCAATCGATTCACTACTCGCCTCTTGGTTAGGTCATATTTTGCAACAATCAATTGTGCTTTGTGCTTGAGTTTTGTCTACTAAATCACCTCTATTGGGCCTTTGGGCCCTCAAACAATTTGTGAAAATCAGGCTGTTACAAGTATTAAATGAACATAACAAGAGTTTCTTAGCTTGGTTTAAGAAAAAGGTTTACAGTGAGGTTAATCCTTTTGATACACTTTTGAGACTTGTTCGTGGGCCTAACAATGATGTCGTTACATTTGGTGGGTATGGCATTAACAAATATTGTTTCTATACAAAGACAGAAGATGACAAAAGTCGAGTACAAAATAGTAAGGTTACAATTCATGCTGAAGGTTGTGCACTTTGCTAGTTCTAAAGATACAAATCCCATTACAGCATCCATAAGTTATTTTGGAGTCATACCAGACATATGATAAATTGATTATGTTACGTTTAGAGTGTTTGTGTTCAAGTGTAAATGGGTTGATGGCAATACGGGTGTGCAGACAGATGATTTAGGGTTTAGATTTGAACAAGGTCGGTTATAAGGATGAACCTTTTACTATGGCATATCAACCAAGACAAATTTTTTATGTTAGGGATCCATGTAATGAGAAATGGTCAGTGGTCCTCAAAGGAAGAACCATGCAAGGAACTCACACAAATGAGTCTCTATATATGCATGAGATACTGTCTTTCTCAAGTAGATCATTTGGTCCTATTGCGAACAATGAAGTTGACGAAATGCATGCTATTCGAAGTGATCATGATGAAGGAATATGGGAAAACATACCAACCTAATAGGTTTGTGTTTATGTATTATTCATTTCTTTATTAGTTATTTTGTTGCTATATTGTTATTATCTTTTTCGCTTTATTTGTCTATTTAGTTAATTCATTGTTTTAATAATGAGAGTTTTATTTTTGCAGGGTTATGGCAGATTCGGGGTTTGGCAGTGGAAAGAGGGAAGGTAGATCTGTCACCTGATTGTCTAGATTGACAGTTGGACGCATTGCCAAGGAGAGGACACAGGTTGAGGTGGATCCTCGTTTTGGCAAGGCGTTAGGCCCAAATGCTGCAAAGTTTAGGAGCTATTTGGGAGTCCTATCTCGACGTCATATTTCTATTATCA